AATATATATATTCATGCATGTATATGTATATTTATATATATATACATATATATATAAATATATATATGTATATATGTATATATGTATATAGATATATATATATAGATATAGATATGTGAATACATATATACACAAATATATAGATATATATATATTGTATGTGTGTATATAGGTCGCTGAGGTGGGCAATAGCCAAGGCCACCATTGATTGCATTTGAACAGCTCTGTCTAGAACTCGAGGCACTGTGTGGTGGTCTCAGCCGAGACGCAGTACTATACATTCCTAAGCCACACACCTCATCACATCACACACACTATGGAGTATGTATAGAAACACACAACCAGGAGCATAGCAACATAGCCGAGTCGTTGTATATCTCTACCGCAAGTCATTGTCTATACCTACCGCATTGAGTCATTGAATATACTTAACGTATTGAGCCATTGTATACAATATCCCTACCGCTGTCTATACCTACCGCATCTAGTCATTGAATATACTCAACGTATTGAACCATTGTATATAATATCTCTACCGTTGTCTATACCTACCGCATTGAGTCATTGAATATACTTAACGTATTGAGCCATTGTATACAATATCCCTACCGTTGTTTATACCTACCGCATTGAGCACTAGCAAGTCGTTGAGGTTGGCGATGGTCGAGGTCAGCCACCGGCGGCGCTGATTGAACAGCTCTGCGAAGGACTCGGGACACTGTGTGGTGGCCTCAGCCGAGGCACAGTACTGCAGAATCCATCCCGTCTTTAGCAGAAGCGTAGACAGCCAGCGATCCTCTCCCTGGTCATACATCAGGTACTCTACGGCTGTGGGGAAGGGGGGCAGGTATTGGGAGGTTGATCACGGGGTACGTGGCAGGTGGTTCCGCATGGTTGAGTTTGTTTGTATATATATATATATAGGAAGAAAGAGAGTTTAGGGGTGTATCTATAGTTCATGTGTAGACGTACAAGGAGAGAGAACGTAACAGATATGAAGTGATAGCAAATAGAATCCAGGGTGTAAGGTGGATGTTTCTGTATGGTTTAGTGAGAATATACATATACAGCGAAAAAGGGAGAATTTATGCACGCAAACATAGTTCATATGTGCACATATAAAAAAGAGAGAATTCAACAGATGTGAGGTGTAAGCAAATACCTACCGGGATGTATGGTATATGCACCAGCATGCATAGCAAAGTTGTATATACATAGGCATAGAGAGCGAGGCATCTGGAGCTTGGCTCTGCTGTCTTTGACACACGTATGTATAAAAAGGCGGAGACATGTTGCGAATGGAGTGGTACGGGGGGATCGTTACCAATACTATGAATCCGTGAGTATTTGAGGGCGGGGGGGGGGGGAAATATTACTCTACGGTGTTTTGCATTGAATATTAAAGCATTAGAGCTTTGTTCGTCCTACCATTCGGTCATTTGGATTCTCATCCAGACGCAGTAGAGATTATCTAGACATTACATGAAGCATATCCTCGCACACAGCCTGTGCTTGTGCGTATATATCCACATGAATGCGTATTGAATTGGCTGGTTGTCTACATACCGGATGTAGGCTGGGCACTATACAGGTGCACAACATCTGCCATCGCTTCGGCTCTGGTGTGCACGATACATGAAAGTATGTCAGCGAAGGTTATATATACAGTTATATATATATAAATATATACAGTTATATATATATATATGTATATATATACATATATACATACATACATACATATATAT